TCGCGACCTGACCTATGTTAAACAAAATTACGTGGCCTATGCGCGATATTTTCTTTGAAACGTGGCCCCACGTTGGGCGCCAAATTTTTGCGACGCTTTTTCAATTCTAATTTTTATTCTCGCGGGGGAGCGAAAGCGCCGTCAAAAACACAAGGGTTTTGGTGTACTCGCGATCGGCGGGACAGGGATGGAGGGTGTCCGCGCGCGAGCCGCGGCGGAGCGAAGGCCGTCTCGATACCTCGGAAATGGGCGCCAGGCACGGTCTCTCACGTACCAGTTTTCACGAATTTTTCGAAAAGCGCGAAAGGATACGACAGCCCGCTTCGCCACGGGCTGGCTAGCTCGCCTAACGGTAGAGGGGCGGGGTTTGAAAGAAAAAGTTAATTGATTGAGCGAGCTTACTAAATTGACAGACAAAGACGGACACAGAAATCACAGATGATCGCCAGCCAAATAAAGAACGCGAGATTTAATAAAAAAATAACAGATTTATTAAGAAAGTAAGAAAGTATTAACAGAAAAGAAATAAAATTCGATACAGAATGGAAACAGAAATAATGTACTAGCCACGAACGGACAATAAATCTCGAAACGCTAGAGAAACGCGCGATATTCTAAGTCGGTCTAACAAAGAGCGTCTATTACGGAGGCTTCCTACCGTCGAAACTCCTGAGAACAACAATTTCTATAACGGAATTTCGGTAATTCGAATTCTCGCTAACGGTCGTACAATACGCGATAGAGAAAGAGAGCGATAGTACCTGCCTATCCTTCGCAGCTTCGACAGCCTCGCGGAGATCTTACTAATTAGCTGCGTATCTCGCAATTTCCTCCGAGCGTACTCGAAGTCGACAACCCAGAAATAAGACAGCCGATTAGTTACGCAATAAGCGAAAAGATATTAGTTTCGCGAGGAGAGATCTCGCATACGATTGGCGGACGATACCGGCGAAGTTCGATAGCCGGCGGCGGTCGGAGATTTTTCCGCCTTTTTCTGCGACGCTCACAACTTAAATTTTTCTGGCAATCGGGGCGATGCGACAATGTCGTGTCACCCCCGATACCTTCAACAGCGTGAGAATTAATTATCTTCTCGGACTCAAGGTAATAAGGAAGGCCGGGCGACAGTCCAGCACCGTGCCTCCTTCGATAGCCGCAATATTTGCCAGGAATTTCCTGACCTCAGATATCGATACTTAGAATCGTGCGATACCCGCACACCGCGACAATTTCGAGGAATTAAGTTTCTTTTTTCGAGACGAACAACTCGCACGCACACAATGGACGCGACAATAAAACGCAGTTTCACGCAATATTCACGAACGACGAGGACACTACACGAAGACTCATTAATCACGACCAATTACGTTCCACAGACTCGCTCTGAGACATATTTCAGAGGTGCGAGACGCGGCTTCGACAACCAAACGACAGCCCGTGCGAACTACGCATCGCTCGCGATTTACGACGCACGCGGTCGATACCCAACGGTCGAATGCTACGCGTATTACGCACCCTGACACCCGGAGAGAGACGAGAATTACCCTACGATACGCACTTCCGTCGCCAGTGTCCGCGCTTCCTCAGCCGCTTGTCTCCTGTCGCCCGAAATGCACAAAATCGACCGACTCAGCAGAAGGCTCGAGCGGTCGCGATAAACGCCGTAATGGCGACGGTGATAGAACGGCTGGCGAGCGGACACAATTAATTACGCGGGGCACAATAATTCGTGGGCAACCTCACCGATGGAGCTCCTCCTGTCTGCGGGGATGATCCTCGGCCTCGTCCTCGGTGTTTCGTCTCGTCAGCGAGGTTCACAAGCGCACCAAACAATACTTTTGACTGTTTCAGTCGGGCGGCCGCGACAAAATGATCCCTGGATCTCGCGATCCAGGGTCGATAGCGGGGTCGCTGGCCGCGCAGGGGGATGCGCGGACCCCCGGCCAATTAGCGGCCGACACGCGCGAGGTCCTGGCGCCTCGCGCGCCACGCGAGGCATTATTGCGTCCCGCGCGAAATAGCGCCAAGCTTGAACGCTGCCGCGGGCCCTTGTTCGGCCCGGGTGAGGTCCTTCCCTCGCCGATCCTCTCTTGGAGGATGGTTGTCTTATCGGCTGTCGTTTCCGGCTGTCGAAGAGAGGCAATGCTGCTCTCTCCGGTTCGGATTTCTGATGCCGGGTTCTCGGGGTCAGGCTCCTTCGTTCTTCCGAATTTCCCTCGGTTGTCGTGTTTAGCTGTCGCGGGGAGGCGATGCTGCTCTCTCCTGTTCTTCGGTGTTCGATGGTGAGGTGCCTCAATCCAGGCTCGACACAAATTAAAAAATACAAAAAAAAGAATTAATATTACACGCAATTATACCCATTCGCTCGTCTCTCCGGGGAGTACGGTAGCTCTCTCTCTCTCTCGACCTTTGGCGCGGCCACTCGGCTCGCGCGCCGTCACAATTGCCGGGGCGGATAGACGCGACGGGACGGCCACGTCACAATACATATATATATATATATATATATATATATATATAAATTTTTAGATAGAAGAACTTTGGGCACAACTGGAATGTAGTAATAAGAAACAATAAAATAACAAGATATGAAAAAATTCAATAATAAAATAACCCTATTTATCAATAATTTTTTTCGATTAATCATTTCGTCGATTTTTTTATATAGAAAATCGATTTTCAAAATCGATTCTTTTTTTAAAAATCGATGTTATTAAAATCGATTTTATTTTGAACATCGCTCATCCCTAAATCGAACATGTGTCCGATCGGAAAATATTGTCGTGTCCGATCGGTAGTGTGCGCAATCGGGACGATCCCATACAGTCAACATAAGTAATAAAAAAAAGTTAATAATTTGCAATAAGTTCGACAACTTTTGATTTTTATATCAATATCTAAGGAATTTATTTTAAAATAGAACATTATTCATGAATTTATCAATACTTTAATATTATGCAAAAATACATATGGTGCTATTAAATTATAACAAATGACAAACACACACACGTATATGAAAAGCTGTCAAACATATTGCAAATTATTAACTTTTTTTTAATTACTTATGTTGACTTATGTTGAAACTTAGACGTTTCGATATCAAAGAATATCAATCATTGTACTAATGATTTTATTTGTTGCAGATTCAGATTTTATTTATGTTTATTATGAAAATGAGAAAGCAACTAGCATAACGGATTCCATTGAATCGTTTTCTTAAACGTCCAACTCGTTAACTTCACAAAGCAATGCATCCACAAGCGTGGCAAAAGCCATAGTCTCTACTATCACGCCTCAAAAACTGACACTAGCAGATACTAAAAAGAGAAAGCGACAGATAAATGATGAAGTAGATACAGTAATGCTAGAATCATCCAAAAACATCTCTTCATTAGCCAACACATTGGAGATGGCATTAAAATAAAATCTAACGTCAGCAGTGTCACAACCAACAAAACCAAAACCAACAAAACCAGAATTACCTCATGCAGTTGAAAACATGATGAGTGGCATAACCTTAGGATTGAATAAAGTTTGTGAAAAACATCAAATGGATTGTTTTATATCGATCCTTGCTTGCATTAATGAATTTATAAAAAAATAAGTTTTTTATACATTTATTAATATGCATAAGATTTCTTGATTTTTTTTCATTTGATTCGATTTTCTTTATTATTCTTCTCATAGATTTTTAAAAAAATATGTTTATTTTTAAGTTTATTTTTTAAACTTTATGAAATGTTTTTATTTTAATCTTAGGATATTTTTTATAAAAATAATAAAAGGTTTATTTTTTTCATTATATATATATATATATATATATATATATATATACAGGGTGATTCAAAATAACCCCTGTGTCCGTGAAATGACACATTGTTGAGTTAATTCTAAGACGATTTTTCCTTTTGCAAAATTTCGTCCGAAGCTTAGTTTTCGAATTATTAAAGAAAGTAGTTAACGCATGACGGGTCGGATACAAGAGGCAGGCAAGGGTGACGCGAGGCCCGTCAGACGCGGGCGCTTACGCGGGGCGCCTGCTGCGATCAGCTGGTCGCTATACACATACAGACACACATGCGAACACATACATTCTCTCTCTCTCTCTCTCTCTCTCTCTCTCTCTCTCTCTCTTTTTCTGAGAAGACGTGTGTCATATCGCTCCGTCGAAATACTAAGTTTTCAGCGGTAAATAGTGAGAGAAGACGTAAAACAAGTTGTTCAAGTTATGTAGCTATAGACCGGGGATAGCTATGAAAGTTATCTAGCCGGGATATGGCGATATGTGAAGGTGAGCAGTGAATTTATTGTTCGGGACATCGAAGTCTCGAAAGACAGGTAGACATTATACGTGGACACAATAGTGCTGACGTGTGAAAGTGGGCCACAGGTGACTGAACGCATTAGGCTGATATTAACGGTTTCGGCCGGTAATTATCGGCATGGACGATGAATATGCAGAGTATCGATGCTCGGCGTGCAGGAAAGCAATAAAGAACAAAGTAGTTAAATGTAAAACTTGCTCAAAGCTTTTTTACCATCCGGGATGTATTAGTAAGCATAAAATTCTCGACGGGAACCAAGAATACGTGCCGTGTAAAGGCCCATTCGAAGAGTTTCAGGTTGAGAGTGAGAAAGATACAAACATGAAGAAAACGCCGACAACGACAGGAAGAGATAGGACATCATCTACAGGATCTGTAGGATCTACAGGTTCGTTCATAACACCGAGCAGTGGAAGTAAAGGATCAGCCATTGATGTAAAAGTAGACTGGATCATAAAGACTGTAAAAGAAATAAAAAATGAAACAACTTGTAAAAATGAAATTAAACTAATGATTCAAGAAGTAGTGCAAAAAGAATTAGGAAATGTTAAACAAGAACTGGAAAACCTGAGGAAGGTGATACAGGAAGTAGCGGAGCAAAGGAAGGATCGCTAAGAAGCTAGTGAAGCGGTTAGAGAGAAGAAAAAAGAAAATGTCATAATTGTTAAGCCGAAAATGCAACAAGAGAGTGAAACCACCAAAAAGTTGATAAAAGAGAAGGTGGACATTAAGAATATGGCTATGGGAATAACGAAACTAAGAAAAGCAAGCAAGGGAACAGTGATTGTGGGTTGTGAAGCTGGAGAGGAGGTGAAAAAGTTGAAAGAGACAGTTCAAGCTAAGCTGGGAGAAAATTACAAAGTGATGGAGCCGCCTCAATCGAAACCAAAGATAAAAATTATTAACATAGGTTTAGAAGAGATGAACTTAGATGATAGTGAACTTATAGGTACGATAAAGATACAGAATAGAATAGATACAGTAAATATGCGAATTGTGAAGAGAATAGTCAAAGAAAAGAGAAATAGCCAATCTGAAAGAAAAGGAAATGAAGAAGGATCAATAATAATGGAAGTAGATGAAGAGACGCACGGGCTGATATTGAAGAAAATAAAATTAAATGTAGGATGGAGGAAATGTCCTGTATTTGATCACATTAACGTTAAAAGATGCTTTAAATGCTGGGGATATTATCATATCGCAAAAAACTGTACGCGAGAGGAAACATGCCATATATGCGCAGGAAGTCATAACTCGCGTGATTGTACAGCGACGAAGAAGAAATGTGTGAATTGTGTGTTCAAAAATCGAACATACAATCTGAAGATAAATGACGACCATGACGCCCTTAGTCCGGAGTGTCCGACTTTTAAGAGAGCGCTACAGGAGGAGAAGAGAAGAGCAGGCTGGGAGGACGCTAAATAGCAACCACAGGAAGAAGCGGAGCTAATACTATATACAAATGCACAAAGTTTAATGGCACATAAAGATGAGATACAACATCAGATTATGAAGAAAATAAATCCTATGTTCTTGGCATTATCGGAAACTAGACTGATTGATGAAATCGAAGACAGTGAAGTGAACGTCCCGGGTTATAGTATAGTTAGATGTAATGCTGAGAATAGAAATACGGGAGGAGTTGTTCTATATGTAAGGAGCGAAATTAAATACGAGATAGTATTAGTAAAAAAATTAGAATCGAATTGTTGGTGTGCTGCGATAGAAGTGAAAGATAAAGTATATAAAGGAGTGATAATGGTAATATATCACTCACCGAGTGCATCGCACGGGGATTTCATGAGATTCTATGAGGAAATAGTGGAGGAGTTGGTAGTAAAGGGAGAATGCATAGTTATAGGAGATTTTAATATAGATCTTAGGATGGATTCGTTTTATGCGAAGAAATTGCAAGCAACAATGTTAAGCTTGGGTATGAAACAGTATGTTAACGAACCGACGAGAATTACGAAAGACACTCAGACAATTATAGATTTAATCTTCGCTAATAATGATAAAATAGTACAAGTAATTCATGAACCTAAAATAACGGATCACGCGTGGCTGAAAGTTGAGATGAATGTCAGCAAAATTGAAAGTAAATATAGAGAATTTATTGCTAGAAATTATAAAGAGTTTGATGTAAATGAATTTGCTATATTAGTGAAAAATAAACTACAGAAAAGTCAGGGATGTCAATGTGAATGTATGGATGTCAGTGAGAGAGCGAAACAACTTATCGATAGTATAGTGGATGCGTTAGATGTAATGGCACCAAAGAAAAAATATAGAATTCCGAAAGTATGGGAAGGGAAAAAGTGGTTTTCAGATGACATAAGAGAAGCTGCGGACAGTAGAGATAAGGCTTATAGAAGAGCATTGTATGATGATATTGATCAAAATTGGTTGCAGTATAAAATTGAAAGAAATAAAGTAATAAAATTAATCAGGGAGAAGAAGAAAGATTATTATGAATGTATGATAGATCTTAATAAAGGAGACCCTACATCTATGTGGAAAACATTGAAGGAAATAATTAGGGGTGAACCAGTAGGTATAAAAGAAGTAGGAAATATAGATTTTGAAATCTTAGGCGATACCGAAGAGTGCAATATAGCTGATAAATTTAATTTATATTATATACAAAGTATTATATAACATAGTAAACTCTATAAAGATCGATAAATCCGGTGGTGATATAATTGATCATTGGATGAATGTAAATAAGAAAATTATTTATATTATCAAAAACGAAAGAATTATGGAAAACTTTGAGACTGTTAAACTAGAACAGCTAGAAAAAATTGTTATGGGATTGCCAAAAAAGAAAGGTACGGAGGAAGGGATAACCAGCGATATATTGAAGGCAGTTTTTTCGGTAATAAAAGAGGAATTTGCGAATATAATAAATAATTCTTTAAGAGAAGGTTTGTGTCCGGAAGGATGGAAAACCTCAACGATAATACCAATCAGAAAGATAGATAAAGCGGTAAAAGCGAGTGATTATAGGCCTATTAATATGTTACCAATATTTGAGAAAGTGTTAGAACTGGTAATTAAAGAACAACTTGAAATGTACTTGGAAACTAACAATATTATAACAGAACATCAGTCGGGGTTTAGAAAATACTATTCGTGCGAAACAGCGATCCAAACTGTCATTGATGAATGGAAATTGATAGTAAGTGATAGAAAAATGGTAGGAGTAATTTTTATGGACCTTAAGAGAGCGTTTGAAACAATAGATAGAGAAAGATTATTAGAAAAAATGTATTATTATGGAATTAGAGGAATGGCTTTGGAATGGTTCAAATCATATTTAAATAATAGGAAACAGCAAGTGCGAATCAATCAAGCGTGGTCTGAAATATTGACAACAGAGTACGGAGTGCCACAAGGTTCGGTACTTGGACCTTTACTATTTATAATATATATAAATGATATAATCGAAGCCTGTCCAGAAGGGTGTAATATTAAGATGTTTGCAGACGACACGCTTATATATGTAAATGGAGAAAGTAGCGCGGATATAGAGGTAAAATTGAATACGGTTTTTAATATAATTGAACGTTGGATGAATATAAATAAGTTAAAAATGAATGCTAGTAAAACGAAATATATGATAGTTAGAAGTATTCGAAAAGAACTGAAAGGTAATACGGTTTTGAAATGTCTGGATGGAATTGAAATAGAACGAGTGAAAAGTATGAAATATCTAGGTATAATTATTGATGATAGACTTCGATTTCAAGATCACTGCGATTATATGATAAAGAAAATAGGTAAAAAAACAAGTTTCTTAAATAGAATAGGTAATTATATATCAGTCTATACTAGATGCATTATATATAAGACAATCATAGCTCCTCACTTTGAGTATTGCGCGACGCTATTAATAGGCATGGGGGAGACACAGATAACCCAATTGCAGAAAGTACAAAACAGAGCTATGAGGGTAATACTTCAATGTGATAGATACACCAAAGTGGATGACATGCTAGAAGCGTTGCAGTTTATGTCAGTAAGACAAAGATTGCAATATAATATATGTATATTTATTTTTAAGATATTAAATGGTTTGCTGCCAACTCAATTAAGGAATAGGTTGCAGATAGTAGGGAAGGAATGTGATAGAGAAACAAGACAAGCGGGTAATATTGAACTGCAGTTTAGGAAAACAAAGTCCGCACAAAAAAGTTTGTTTTATGAAGGCATAAAAATATATAACGTCCTGCCAGAAGAAGTTAAAAATTGCGATAGGCTAAAATTATTTAAGAGTAGGCTTAAGGCGCATATTTTCGCAATGTAAAATATGTAAGTTTAAATGTATATGGAAATAGCTGAGAAAGCTAATAAAAGCTCATCAATCAATCAATCTCTCTCTCTCTCTCTCTCTCTCTCTCTCTCTCTCTCTCCCCCTCTCTCTCTCTCTCTCTCTCTCCCTCTCTCTCTCTCTCTTTCATTCACTCACTCACCTGTATTTTTTTTTTTTTTTTTTACGAGAGAGGGGAAAATGCATTTTATGCATACCCACCGGTCGATCCAGTGAGTTATGTGGGACTCGAGTACCAAGTCGAATTACCAACTCGGTATTCCCTACCCACTAAAAACCCCTCTCTTTTCACGAATTTTCTTTGACATACTGTCCCTCTGTCCTTCCCGAGATCCGTTTTCACATAATGTCAAAAAATAGTTTTTATTACCTTGTTCAATGACTTCTGATGTATTGCTGTAATTGCTTGAAGAAGAAATGAATTTTCCGATAGATCGTACGTTCTCAGATTTAACGTAGATATCACGTTGCAAGAAATCCACACTAAATTATTAACTGAAAGTTTTTCTTCTTTCAGGAACTACATTCTTTTATAAACTTTAACATAATCACATTTATTTACTCACTCGACGAGACGAGAAATTTACTAATGACTCTATCACTAATCACTATTAATTACTGTCGAATAATAACTGTTGGCGATTAAAAATCACTTGATAAAAGAAACACGCACTACACGTTACTACACGACGCGACGACGCGACAATGCGACGATAATTACTCGGCGACTGTAAGCAGTTTTTTGTCATAGTAGATTGCGGTAGTAATAATATTAATATGTTAAATGTTTATGTTTACCGCATTCTTCAATCGAACACATAATCGCGTTCGATAACGCCAGTAGAACCTTAACCTACCGCAACCTACTATGACAAAAAACTGCTTGCAGTCGCCGAGTAATTATCACCGCATTGTCGCGTCGTCGCGTCGTGTAGTAACGTGTCCATGCGTGTTTCTTTTATCGAGTGATTTTTAATCAGCAGTTATTTTTAGTCAACAGTTATTATTCGACAGTGATTAATAGTAATTAGTGATAGAGTCATTATTAAATTTCTCGTCTCGTCGAGTGAGTAAATAAATGTGATTATGTTAAAGTTTATAAAAGAATGCAGTTCATGAAAGAAGAAAAACTTTCAGTTAATAATTTAGTGTGGATTCCTTGTGCAACGTGATATCTACGTTAAATCTGAGAACGTACGATTTATCGGAAAATTCATTTCTTCTTCAAGCAATTACAGCAATACATCAGAAGTCATTGAACAAGGTAATAATAACTATTTTTTGATTATGTGAAAACGGATCTCGGGAAGGACAGAGGGACAGTGTGTCAAAGAAAATTCGTGAAAAGAGAGGGGTTTTTAGTGAGTAGGGAATACCGAGTTGTTAATTCGACTTGGTACTCGAGTCCCACATAACTCACTGGATCGACCGGTGGGTATGCATAAAATGCATTTTCCCCTCTCTCGTAAAAAAAAAAAAAAAAAAATACAGGTGAGTGAGCGAATGAAAGAGAGAGAGAGAGAGAGAGACAGACAGACAGACAGCAGACAGAGAGAGAATATATGTGTTCGCATGTGTGTCTGTATGTGTATAGCAACCAGCTGATCGCAGCAGGCGCCCCGCGTAAGCGCCCGCGTCTGACGGGCCTCGCGTCACTCTTGCCTGCCTCTTGTATCCGACCCGTCATGCGTTAATTACTTTCTTTAATAATTCGAAAACTAAGCTTCAGAAGAAATTTTGTAAAAGGAAAAATCGTCTTAGAATTGACTCAACAATGTGTCATTTCACGGACACAGGGGTTATTTTGAATCACTCTGTATATTAAAGTTATACAGGGTGACCCATTTTAACTTAGGCAGCCAAATAACTCGAAAAATAAGCACACTACGAAAAAATGGTTAGAATCAAAATTTCGTCATTTCGAGGGGGACGTACAATGACGTTAAAATCAGCTTCCCCACCCCTCCCCCTGGGCGGTGAGGGGGGGCAAGTTTGGAATCTTAAATGGAACCCCCTATTTTTCATTGCATATTCTTGTAGCTTATCTCGAGAGCTTTCCAAAACACTATAATTAAGTACCTTTTTATTAAGTACTTTTTGAGTTATAAGGCTTAAAATAATTTCTTAATTTTACATAAACCATAAAATATCTAGTAAACCATTCATTTTTCGATTATCTTACCTTCATACTTATATGTACAAAATAATGAGAGGAATCAATTGGTGTAAAGAAAACATACAGTTGTTTTTAAGAAAAAATATGGAATTGTTAATTGCAGATTACATATTTTTTCTTAGAAACAACTATGTGTTTTCTTTACACCAATTGATTCCTCTCATTATTTTGTACATAAAAGTATAAAGGTAAGATAATCGAAAAATGAATGGTTTACTAGATATTTTATGGTTTATGTAAAGTTAAGAAATTATTTCAAGCCGTATAACTCAAAAAGTACTTAATAAAAAGGTACTTAATTATAGTGTTTTGGAAAGCTCTCGAGATAAGCTACAAGAATATGCAATGAAAAGTAGGGGGTTCCATTTAAGATTTCAAACTTGCCCCCCCTCACCGCCCAGGGGGAGGGGTGGGGGGGCTGATTTTAACGTCATTGTACGTCCCCCTCGAAATGACGAAATTTTGATTCTAACCATTTTTTCGTAGTGTGCTTATTTTTCGAGTTATTTGGCTGCCTAAGTTAAAATAGGTCACCCTGTATACAGGGTCTACCAAAAGTGTGGAAACCCCTAAATATCTCGGAAAATATTCGTTTTACAGAAAAGTGTTTCCAACAAAAGTTGTAGGGTTTAAGAAGATCTATATACTGATTCTATCAGTTTGACCTTGGATGGCGTCGTCAAGGTCAGGTCAAGGTCACATTGACTTTTTTAAATGACACCCCCTACATTTGATTGCATATTCTTATAGCTTAATTCAAGAGCTTTCCAAAACACTATAATAATGTTCATTTTTATTAAGTACTTTGCGAGTTATGAGGGTTGAATGATAGAGTAGCGCCGGTATTAACATTATCCAAGGTGTACTACATGGAGGTTACTCGCTCGGATTTGCATCTGTTGTGTGTGTGATCCAGCTAACTAAGGCAAGATCGATTCCTCAACATATCCTCATATTTCGCTGAAGTCAAATTGCCAAAAAATTGCTCCATAAAACGTGTATGAAACATCTCGTTAGTTCCTTCATTTACCGCTATGTGACGCACTACATGCAGTCTAACTCGCATTTAAAATTCAACTAAGAATGTATAAAGCTATCAAAGAACGAGCACCTTCTAACTTCAGCTTTGAGCAAGCAGAAATTAATTGTTATCGTCCAAATACAACGTACGATTAATTAAAATTAAACGTTTTAAAAATGGCTGGCGACTTGTCGGAACGTGAAAGAATCACTATCCTCATGATGCGTGGATGGGGTGATAACGAAAGATCGTTCTCTGATGTCGTTCGATTATTTAATGACACGTATCCGAACCGTCGAATTAATAAGTCCACTGTGTTAAAAACAATAGAACGTTTTAGACAAACTGGTAGCGTAAGAAATCGCTCTAAGTCAGGAAGACCATTGTCTGCAACCAACGAAGAAAAACAACTTGATGTTCTGCAGACATTTATTGAAGATCCCAATTCTAGTGTTCAGAGAGTCGCTCAAACTCACGATATTGCTCCCATGTCGGTTTGGAGAATTTTAAAGAAGAACAAGTTCCATCCATATAAATTGCAATACGTTCAAGAATTGCAAAACGGAGATGAGGAGCGTCGTATACATTTCTGTGAAAGAATGATGGCACTAATAGATGTCCGGCCCATCTTCCCTTATCAAATTGTTTTCACAGACGAGGCAACTTTTACCTTAACGGGAGAAGTTAATAATCAAAATTTTCGTTTCTGGTCAGATGAGAATCCGAATTGGGTGCGGGAAACTCACACACAACATCCACAAAAAATAAATGTATGGTGCGGAATAATAGATGGCTATTTAATAGGGCCGTTTTTTTTTGAAGAATATTTGAACGCTCAAAGGTATGAGAGATTACTTGTTGATCAAATAATTCCAGCCATACAGAATACTTTTCCAAATAATTTCCAAGAAATATGGTTTCAGCATGATGGAGCTCCTGCTCATTTTGGTGCAGGACCACGTCGTATTTTAAATGAGACTTTTCCGCTACGGTGGATAGGAAGAAGGAACGGAAATGAGGGAGGAGAGGATTGGCCACCTCGGTCACCAGATCTAACTCCTCTTGATTATTATCTATGGGGATATCTGAAGAGTAAGGTTTACAGAACAAAACCTAAAACCATTCACGAATTGATACAGCGAATAAGGGATGAAATGGCTTTGATACCTTTTGAAACGAATCGTAAAGTCATTTCTACATTCTACCAAAGATTAGCATATTGTCAGGAAGTAAATGGCAGCCACTTTCAGAATTTACTTTAACACATTGAAACACATTTGCAATCGTTTGGTGCAACCTAACCTGATCTCTGTATACACGCACCGCACGCACGCACACGCACACATTTCGAACAATTATTATGATAAATGAGCATCCACAAATTTATTTACTGTTTACTATGTCGATTGCTTTCCAGGTCTTTAAATGCTCGATTGTAATTTGGTTGGGTCTTTGCTTTTGCTGACTGGATCCACGACCGATCTTGCCTTAGTTAGCTGGATCACACACACAACAGATGCAAATCCGAGCGAGTAACCTCCATGTAGTACACCTTGGATAATGTTAATACCGGCGCTACTCTATCATTCAACCCTCATAACTCGCAAAGTACTTAATAAAAATGAACATTATTATAGTGTTTTGGAAAGCTCTTGAATTAAGCTATAAGAATATGCAATCAAATGTAGGGGGTGTCATTTAAAAAAGTCAATGTGACCTTGACCTGACCTTGACGACGCCATCCAAGGTCAAACTGATAGAATCAGTATATAGATCTTCTTAAACCCTACAACTTTTGTTGGAAACACTTTTCTGTAAAACGTATATTTTCCGAGATATTTAGGGGTTTCCACACTTTTGGTAGACCCTGTATATATATATATATATATATACATATTAGAAATATTAAGAGTTATATGTCAATCTAAATAAATTATAATAAACAAATTATTTTTTCTTTTCTTATTTATATCACTATTTAACTAAATTTTATTTTTCCAAATTAAAAAATTAATTATATACAATGTAAATATTTACATACTCTATGTTCGGCATTTAACCGATTTTATGCTACGCACCCTGTAGATGTTTGGAGCTATGGATGCTAGCACGCGCTCGAGACGTGAACCTAACAGCGGAATCACATGTTTTCGAAGTCGCTGTTATTTTCCGCCCTCTTCCCCGCAATTCACCTGACCATAATTGCTCGAATTCCTGAGCGCGGCCGTGTCAGTCTTTGCACTGGAGCCGAATAGTGAGCACCTTTGTATCGCGTGTAACGACTAAACCTTCGTCTGCGGCATTTTTCTCTTTATAATTGTTGCTAGTATAATTAATTGACTTTGACTTTATATTCAGTTTTATTGTGACTGTGCAATTTTCTTTGATATCGATTGTGTAAAGCCAAAGTGTACATATGTTTACTGTGAAATATATTGTGCTGTAATACATTTCTTCCAATTTCCTTAAACCCACTCGGATCTCCCGATCCAAAAATCGAACGCAGTTCGGCAAACTCCATCCGGCATTCTCATCAGAAAGATTTCGGCGAGTGCGCCAACATATCTGGTCCTTCGAGCCGGATATTGGAAGCAAATCAGTGCATATTGGACATATCAATCAAGGACATTCTAGCAACAATCTAACGGTTTGCCCATTGAAACATTTTCGGTAAGTAACAAACAGTTACTTATTGTATCAGACTTGCATTTGTGACAGTGTCGTTACACCGCGCTCACCGCTTGACGCCCCGCGCTCCGCGTGCGTCTCGCCCACCGTGTCGCGATCGCCGATTGACGCTCTGCGCTCCGCGCGCCAACAAGCTCAGCGCTCAGCTGTTCGCGCTCCTAAAGACTTTGCGTCTCGCTCCGTGCGTTCAACGCTCTCGCTCTAGCGCACGACGGACACTCCCGTGCTTCGTTGATAATGGACGCGCAAATCAAGAGGCAATTGACCACAGCCGGTTACATTGAACGCTTTTGGGAAAATCTTCTCAAGGCCGGAAAAGAAAAATTAACTCGTGCACATTTGACGGCACATCTTGAACTTTTAGAGTCATATTGGTCAAAATTCTTCAAGATTCACAACGAATTGCTAGTCATGGAGAGGATAGAAACCACTGAGTACATGAAGCAAGATTTGTACTCCAAGACAGAAGAAAGTTATATTTCCACGAAAACCACAATCACTGCATACTTGCAGAACGTTAAACCGGTCAGTTCTCCGGGATCCAGTGAAGCAAGCACGGTCCTCCGTCAAATTCAATTACCAAAGATAAATCTGCCCACTTTCAATGGCGATCAGCTGGCATGGGATAGCTTCAGAGACCAGTTCATGTCGCTGGTTCACGAGGTCGATGGACTCGCTCCCATTCAAAAGCTGCAATACTTAAGGTCCAGCCTCACTGGTGAGGCCGCTGCAGTTGTGTCCGGTATTGAGATGACAGCCAACGGTTATGTATCGGCGTGGGACGAGCTAGTGACACGCTACGACAATAAACGAGTTCTTTTATCGAGTCATATGCGCGCCCTAATTTCTTGTGCTCCGATTACAAAGGCCGCCGAAATAAACAGGCTCGTCAGTGCCGTCAATCAGGCAGCTCCCTCTTTCAAAGCTTTAAAGCGCCCGGTAGAGCACTGGGACGACTGGTTTGTACATATCTTAGTGGAAAAATTGGATTCATCTTCGCGTCTTCTCTGGGAATCGTCACAAAAATCTAGACCGATGTGAACCTGGCGCCCGACTTTACAAAAATTAAAATTTTTTTATACAGTTCGTTTGTACTTCGTTTGTACCTGTTTGTACCACACTTCATTTCGTTTGTACCTCAAAGGGTAAACAAATACAAAGTGGTTAAAAAATGGCCAGCGCCCAACTTTAAGATATTTTAATTTCATTAATGTCATTCGATAGAGCATCGTTTGTACCCGTTTGTACCTCTTTTCAAATCGTTTGTACCTCAAAGGAACCGGAAGTACAGAATTTTCAAAAACCTCCAAGCGGTAGTTTCGTCAATTTTTGAGATATCTCAAATCGGCCAACGCCCTTCGAAAGAGCATCGTTTGTACCCGTTTGTACCTCTTTTCAAATCGTTTGTACCTCAAAGGGTAAACAAATACAAAGTGGTTAAAAAATGGGCAGCGCCCAACTTTAAGATATTTTAATTTCATTAATGTCATTCGATAGAGCTTCGTTTGTACCCGTTTGTACCTCTTTTCAAATCGTTTGTACCTCAAAGGAACCGGAAGTACAAAATTTTCAAAAACCTCCAAGCGGTAGTTTCGTCAATTTTTGAGATATCTCAAATCGGCCAACGCCCTGCCAACCAGATGCCGAGTTTCCACCGCGCAAGCGTGGACACGTCCACGTGGACATCTGGTGGAGGGGAGTAGAGGGCATTTATCAGAGAGAATCGACGATCAATAGCGCGACGGCACAGAACTGTTTTTTAGAGACTTTCTCTGCGTCCTTCTTATCGTTAGATTATACGATCTCCGTATCTCGGTGTCGACCGATGCGTTTATTAAATTATTCGTTTATTAGCTTGCCGCTTAAAAATTTATAAACAAAATTATTGATATAAGCGAAATCTTTAAGTTTATTTACGAAAATAAATTTACCAATAAAAACAAAATGCCACGTCAACCAAAAAAGAACGTTGATGAAATCTTTGACGTAATTAAAGATTTGAATTTTTTTGACGCTGAAGGTCAGATTCTTCGACTATCTGACCCAATTTGGAAAGATGCAGAAAATATTTTAAATAAGGAGCTTTCTGCAAAATATTTATATATATATATGTCGCAAAACAGAAATTCTTGAGCGGTTTCCTAAAAAATGTGATGCTTTATTTAAAGATGCGTTATCGAAATCGCTTAACTCATCTGACAAAAATCACCAATCAAATGAGTCGAATTGGTCGATGTCTTCATCATGTCCTCTCAAACCATGGCGTACTGTTTTATATTTAGAGAAAAAAATGTGGCAATTTCCGAATATGAACAAGATAATGACAAACATACATTATTAAAACCTGGATGGACAAATATAATATATAATGAAGTATGGAAACAATTAAAAATACCGTGTTGTTTCGCGTTTAAAACTGCAAGAATAAATCGAAATCCAGGAGAAATATTTTTAAAAATAAAAGGGAAATGTACAGAATGTGGTGCATTTTTTAATGCATATAGTTTGTGCGAGCCCAGTAATACGGATTCAAAAATGGAGATACATGTCTCGACTTTTGACACTAGAGAAATCGCACACAAAAAGAAATGACAATTAAGAAAACCCGAAAAGAATAGCGTTGTAAAAGATTTAGATGCGACGTCTGCATATGGTTGGAGAAGAGAGAGGGCAAACGAGATAATGGAATTTGGCGATGTAGAGCCAGCTCATTTATATAGTGAATCCGTGTTGCGAAAAGCGAAACAGTTAAATAAGGATGAAAAATTAGGACTAGGAAAAATATCCGATTCTATCGCATCCGTTTTGCAACTAAAATATAAGCCCGAATTTTCGTCAGCTATACGAGAAATCGGTTTGGATAAATTTTTCATAATTTATTTTAGTCCAGAGCAATTATTTTTATATAAACAATTTATTCGACATGAAAAGATAGGCATGTTAAGTATTGATGCAACAGGATCGTTGATTAAAAGTATTAAAAAACCTGATGAATCCAAAAATCCTATATTTTTATATCAAGCTGTCGTTCCTTATAAAACAAAAATTTTACCTGTTCTTCAGATGGTATCTGAAAAACATGATACCAATATTTTGACATATTGGTTACGCGAGTGGTTGCGATTTGGTGCACCTTGCCCAAAAGAGGTCGTCATAGATTACTCATTTGCACTTTTAAATGCGATCGCTCTATCATTTAACAACTGCGATCTTAATGCGTACGTCGAAAATTGTATGAAAATATTACAGAATAATGATTCGGCAAATGCTCCCAAATGTATTCTTCGGATTGACATTGCACATTTGATTAAATCAGTCTGTCGCTGGAAATGTTTCAGAGATAAACATGCGCGTATTAAAGATTTTTTTGTTAGGTGCGTTGGCATTTTAACTAACACCACAACGCTTGACAATTTTCAACAGATTTGCCTTGATATCCTGATAGTTGCATTTTCAGAAACAGAAGATATTTCCACCAACACGTGTGACACATTTACATGTTTTAACGCGCAACAACGATTATTAAATATAATAAAAACGCAAAATTTTGAATATTGTGAAAATACGGATACAAATGAAATAAATATAGATAGAGATAAAGATACAGATGAAAATTATTTAGATTATTTAGATGAAATTATTTAGATTATTTAGATGAAATTTGTAATAACGAATCCGTTGAATCCATCAATAATTTTCTTCGCAACATCGAAGAAAGTAGTAAAAAAATAAAATCTGGAGATAGGCCCAATCCGTATTACTGTAAAAATGTTGGTGTCAATTTACTAAGAATTTGTAAGGAATTTCCTTTATGAACAGCTACAATGACATTAAATGGAATGAGTCATACAGCGTCATCAGCTAGAAGCGAGGAATATTTTAATGAATTAAAAAATTTGATTTTTAAGGGTGCAAAAAATATACGCATTGACAAATTTTTAATCTCGCATATAAGATCTCTCGCAGGTACTACGAAAATTTTAAATGCTGATACGACAAGTAGTCAACGAGACAATTAAAGTTTTAAATACTACAGATTCGAATGAATCTATTGATATATCAGATACTAAATTGATCACGAATAGTCCTGATAATTTTGAGATATTATCGGACACTTCATCACATACATATAACACATATGAAGATTACACGACAAAGCTAACTGAAACAAATATTTTAAATGAAGTAGAAACCTGGAAAGGACATAAAAATACAAAATTGAAACGCGGAAAATATTTAAGAGTATGTCCTGATGTTGAAAGTTTTCATAGGAAACCTCATGTAACATCAAAAATTACAATGTTACAAAATGGTAATAATTTACGTCCTCAAAATATTTCAGGATGATTTACAATGATAAAAAATACGTGTGCATTTGATTCTATAATTCAGTCCTTGTTAGTAGGTTACTGTGACTGGATTTCTTATTACGATTACGTAAATACGCATAATAATAATGTAATAAAATTTATAAAAATGATATCTACACTTGGCGCATCACAAAAAGTTTACAAAGATAGAGCGCTAATTTTAAATAACATTTTCCAATCGAAAAGTGGTATGATTGAGTGCGCGTGTAACATAAATCAATTAGTGGCCAAACTTTTGATGCAAGATGCATTATCTTATGAAATATCGCAACAATGTTCAACTTGTGATTGGATGCATCAAGAAAAGATCACAATTATTGAAATAAACACTAAACCGATGTATGAATATGGTATGCGCGGTTTGGAAAAGGCTCTTAACGAAAAAATTGAAGCCGTAAATCAAAAATGCAGACGATGCGCAAATGATAATTTAAGTATAAACTTTACTTCAGGGATGCATCTTTTTATAGATATAGAGTGTTTACAATGGACCGAACTCGCTAAGAGGCTCGGATATCCTAATTGGTCCGGTATGTTTACTCTTTCAGAGATACCAATAGAGATCCAATTTTGTAAATCCACATATAAATTAGTCGCATCAATCGAATATATAGGTGGCATTAACAAAGATGACGTAGGGCATTATATTGCGCACTGTCGTCGCATATCAGGAAACTGGGAAATATACGATGATATAAATAAAAACAATACTGCAATAAGAACGTCAACCAGAATGCTCTTGCAAAAAAAAAATATATCTCTATTAATTTTTATAAAACACTAAACCATTATATTTTTCTGTACGTTTTATTTAATAATTATAGAGATAACTATAATATATAATTATGATATATGCATATACTCTTATAAAATTAATCCTAACTTATAAATATTATATTCCTCTATACTATACCTTTTATTAAGTTTATATATATATACGAGTATATATATATATATACATATATATATATATATATATATATATAAATTACATTTTATACATGTACACACATTTTACATTAAAAAAACGTATATAATCTTATTACCTATATATCATATTACCTATATAATAATATATCTATATATATATATATATATATATATATATATATATATTATTACTTATTCTATGTATAACCTTAATACCTACATAAATACTTACTGCACAATCTTATCTATATGTAACTTAATTATTAATCAATAACTATATTAGAGTAGTCAAAGTGACTTTGCTTTAACCAGCCGGTAGATTCTTCGGGCTTGCTTTAATTAGTTGGCTGAATTTTTGATTTGCTTTAACTAGCCAGTACACTCGGCTGGCTCGCTGTAATTAGTTGACTGAATTACTGACTCGCTTTAACTAATCAATCCATTCTTCCGGCTTACTTTAATTAGTTGGCTTCATTTTTGACTCGCTTTAATTAGCCGGTCCATTCTGCAGGCTTACTTTAATCAGTTGGCTCAATTTTTGACTCGCTTTAACTAGCCAATCATAACACTATAAACTAAAAAGTTGAAAAAAATCTGTACTTCCGGTTCCTTTGAGGTACAAACGATTTGAAAAGAGGTACAAACGGGTACAAACGATGCTCTATCGAATGACATTAATGAAATTAAAATATCTTAAAGTTGGGCGCTGGCCATTTTTTAACCACTTTGTATTTGTTTACCCTTTGAGGTACAAACGAAATGAAGTGTGGTACAAACAGGTACAAACGAAGTACAAACGAACTGTATAAAAAAATTTTAATTTTTGTAAAGTCGGGCGCCAGGTTCACATCGGTAAAATCTAGCCAGCTATTTCTGGCATTCAATGATCTCAAGTCATTCTTGCTCACTCGTGTTCGAGCTCTAGAAGCCGCACAGCCGCATACGCCATCGTTGACGAGCAGTTCAGCGAAAATAAAGAAAAGCGGACGTCGAGACGAGATCTCCTCTCACTCTGCTTCTACCACTCCAGGCTCGCAGTGTCCTCTCTGCAAGGATCATCACTCGCTGCGATCTTGTGCCAGATTCAAGGCCTACTCTGTTGAGCAGCGCCGCGAACAAGTGCGAAAGGCGAGGGCGTGCTTCAACTGCCTGGGCTACAATCACACGTTGACAGCATGCCCCTCGACCAATCGATGTCGTCTCTGTCACGACAAACATCACTCTCTCTTGCACGCTGAAGAGACAGCGGCTTCGCAGCCACCTGCTCAGGACTCACACACCTCGGCCACGCTATCGAACAAGGTCGCTGCTGCCGGAGAAGCTGCAAAGGTTGCAGCATTGTCGAGCTCCATCAGCAGCATGGTGCTGCTCGCGACTGCCATAATTACATTGATTTCCGAATCGGGTCGTACGATTACCGCGAGAGCACTCTTGGACTTTGGTTCCGAAGCGTCGTTCGTGTCGGAGCGCGTTGCACAGCAACTTAGGTTGCGTCGACGCAAGATCGGCGTAACAGTCTCCGGACTGCAGGGAGTGACCACCGGCAAGGCCTCTCATGCCGTATCACTTCTGATCGGCAGCAGGCGGACGCCATCTTTGCGCATTGCTCTGCCCAATGCGCTAGTCATGCCCAAACTAACTCCGTTTACTCCTGGTATTCAGGTACGCAAGGACAACTGGCCCCATCTTGAAGATCTCGATTTGGCGGACCCAGGCTTCGATCGTCCGGCTGCCGTCGACGCAATTCTAGGAGCTGACATCTACGGGATGCTCATCGAGGGCGGAGTTAGACGCGGATCTCCCGGAGAGCCAGCAGCTCACTCTACTGTTTTCGGCTGGGTTCTGATGGGCCCGCTCACGGCCAAGGACAACTTACCGCCGAGCGGCATCCTCAGCTATCACACTACCGTTGAACCTGATCTAGGTCAACAGCTTCAGCGGTTCTGGGACCTTGAAGAGGTCTCCTCGCAACGGATTCTCTCGCCTGACGAGAATTACTGCGAGCATCTATTCAAGACAACGCATTCTCGCGACGCGCAGGGTCGCTACATCGTGCGCCTTCCGAAGAAACCGGATCCGCCGGCGGAGCTCGGAGACTCCCGTCGCGGCGCACTTCGGCTGCTCTTGCAGAACGAGAATCGTTTAAGTCGAATTACACCTCTTAGGCAATCTTATACTGATTTCATGAGTCTGTATTCTGCTCTAGGTCATATGGAGCCAGTGTCCAGCAACGAGTCGAACAGGAACTCTTACTATTTGCCACACCATGCCGTGACTAAGAAGAATGATCCGGGTGGAAAACTACGAGTCGTTTTTAACACTTCGTTTCGTACTACAACGGGCGTCTCTCTAAACGACCTGCTTCTGCCTGGACCTCGGCTGCAGGCGGATCTTTGGCTCGTGTTGACTCATTGGCGACTGCATCGATTTGCCTTCACCACGGACATCGTTAAAATGTTCCGGCAAATCCGCGTTCATCATGAAGACGCTGACCTCCAGAGAGTCTTATGGCGGGCGGAACCCGGCGAGAAGATAACTGATTACCGTCTTGTCACGGTTACGTACGGCACGGCGCCTGCTCCGTACTTGGCAATTCGAACTCTGTTGCAGCTGGCCCAAGATGAAGAACATCGTTTTCCGAAGGGAGCAGCTGCCATTCGCTCCAACACTTATGTTGACGACATACTAGCCGGAGCGAGCACCCTAGAAGAAGCCCTTGAGGTCAAGGATCAACTTGTAGGTCTCCTTGAAGCTGGAGGATTTCAGCTCAGCAAGTGGGCAGGCACGCACTCCGCGTTCTGTCCGGACGCAACCAAAGAGAGCGTCTCATCTCCGACGCAGACTGTGTGGGCGCACTTGGCGTCCTTTGGACTCCCGCCGTTGATGAACTGAGTCTCAGAGCGGTTCCGTCGCTGAACTACTCATTAGCGCCTACAAAACGTACCGTTCTTTCTACGGTGGCCAAATTGTTTGATCCGGCGGGGTGGGCCGCCTCCGTGCTTGTCGCTGCAAAAATCTTTATCCAGGATCTCTGGATGGCAGGCCTGGATTAGGACCAATCGATTCCTTTGAACCTGCGGTCACGCTGGCTGCATTTCGTTGCCAAGTTACCCGAGTTGAACCGAACCCGGATACCGAGATGGACCGGCGTTCAAGGAGGATACGAAATGCACGCATTCTGCGATGCCTCCGAACGAGCATATGCTGCCGCTGTCTACTTGCGCGGAATCAAGGACTCAGGCGAATTCGGATCATCTCTTCTGATCGCCAAAACAAAGGTCGCTCCTCTGAGGCCGGTCTCAATTCCGCGACTGGAACTTTGCGGTGCTCTGCTTGCTGCCCGGCTTCTTCGTCGCATCGCGACCGAGCTGCAAATTGCCTCCGCTCACTTATACGCTTGGACGGATGCGCGAGTTGTCTTGGCGTGGATTCGGGCACACCCCTCGCGCTGGACAGCATTTGTGGCCAACAGAGTTGCTGCCATACAAGAATGGTTGCCGCCAGTTCATTGGCGCTACGTCTCTACACAGGAAAATCCGGCCGACTTGGCCACACGAGGCATCGCTCCCTCAGATTTAGAGAGCTCTCAATTGTGGTGGACTGGCCCACAATGGCTTAAATCTCCTTCCGAGTCTTGGTATGCGGTTGACTCAGTCGAATCGGAGGTTGATGAAGAGCGTCGTTCACTTGCGACAGTATTCAATGACCGACCGAGGCCAGATCTTCAGGCCGAACCAGAAAACGATTTACTGTGTCGATTTTCGTCTTTTAACAAACTTATTCGAGTTTCAGCCTTTTGCCTTAGATTCCTGCGAAATGGAACTCGCCCCGGAACACTTTCTCTCTCTGCCGATGAATCGCTGTCGCCTTCGCTGGCTCCGCATTGTGCAACAGCAGAGCTTTGCAGCAGAGCACAAGACTCTTTCCGAAGGAGAGCCTGTATCACGTCGCTCTGCTCTGCTCGCACTGCGACCCTTCATCGCGGGGGATGGTCTCATTCGAGTCGGTGGTCGACTTGGACACGCCCCGCTGACCTTCGAGGAGAAGCATCCAATCATTCTCGCCAAGGACAACCATTTGTCGCTCTTGTTGGTACGCGACGCGCACCATCGGACTCTCCATGGCGGACCGCAGCTTACCCGCAGCGTACTCATCCGCCGCTACTGGATATTGCGAGTTAATTCTCTGATCAAGTCCGTCACACGTAATTGTGTAAGATGCGTTCGCTTCAAGAATGCACCCGCGCAACAGCAGATGGGTCATCTTCCTGGCGATCGGGTCAGAGCTGCTCGTCCATTCTGGTCCTCTGGCGTCGATTATGCCGGGCCAATTCAGCTCCGAGCCTCCAAGGGCCGAGGACAAAAATCTTATAAGGGGTATATATGCATTTTCGTTTGCATGTCCACTAGAGCAGTTCATCTGGAGGCTGTCTCGGACCTTTCGTCTGATTCCTTCCTGGCCGCGTTTGCACGATTCGTAGCAAGACGAGGTCGCTGTGCGCGCCTTGCCAGCGACAATGGGACCAATTTCCGAGGACCGGACAAGGTCTTGCGAGACATGTTTCAAGCGGCATCAGACTTCTATCACGAATGCCGAGACAAACTAGCGCAGGACAGTACCGAGTGGCACTTCATTCCCCCGTCAGCTCCGCACTTCGGCGGGCTGTTGGAGGCGGGCGTGAAGGCCATCAAGTATCATCTTCAGCGCGTTCTGGGTGACCAGCTTCTCACCTACGAAGAGTTGTCTACTCTCCTTTGTGAAATAGAGGCGTGCCTCAATTCCAGGCCGCTCTATCCTTTAAGTAACGATCCAGCTGACTACGCTGCGATCACTCCTGGACACTTCCTAATTGGTGAAACTCCAATCAACATTCCGGAGCCTCCATCTCCTGTCAAGACTTCCAGCTCGGCCACCTCACGTTATAAGTTGATTTCTAACATGCGTGATCATTTTTGGCACAGGTGGTCGCAGGAGTATCTCCAGCACCTTCAGCAGCTCGGAAGGTGGAGACATCGTTTTGCCAATCTCCAACCTGGAGCTCTAGTTCTCATCAAGGACGACTTGAGACCACCCGCAAAGTGGTCTCTCGGACGAGTCGTTCAGGTGCATCCCGGCGACGACGGGCTCGTACGCGTTGTTACAGTGAACACTCCCACCTCACAGTTACGTCGCCCAATCTCGAAGATCTGCCCGCTTCCGATCAACCATGAGGAAGCAAATCACGCTACCAACTAACATCCAACGTTCGTAGAAAGCGGACTCCTTACGGCGGGCGGACATCCGTGGCTCTGCGTTATTTATTTCGTCCTGCGGACGAGGCGGGCGGAATGTTCGGCATTTAGCCGATTTTATGCTACGCACCCTGTAGATGTTTGGAGCTATGGATGCTAGCACGCGCTCGAGACGTGAACCTAACAGCGGAATCACATGTTTTCGAAGTCGCTGTTATTTTCCGCCCTCTTCCCCGCAATTCACCTGACCATAATTGCTCGAATTCCTGAGCGCGGCCGTGTCAGTCTTTGCACTAGAGCCGAATAGTGAGCACCTTTGTATCGCGTGTAACGACTAAACCTTCGTCTGCGGCATTTTTCTCTTTATAATTGTTGCTAGTATAATTAATTGACTTTGACCTTATATTCAGTTTTATTGTGACTGTGCAATTTTCTTTGATATCGATTGTGTAAAGCCAAAGTGTACATATGTTTACTGTGAAATATATTGTGCTGTAATACATTTCTTCCAATTTCCTTAAACCCACTCGGATCTCCCGATCCAAAAATCGAACGCAGTTCGGCAAACTCCAACCGGCATTCTCATCAGAAAGATTTCGGCGAGTGCGCTAACACTCTATGTACGCAATACTTAATTTATTCTGATAGATGAAGTGCCCTTTCAAATTGCCATGGTGCCTGTTCTTCACCCATTTTGGACATAAAATATTGCATTAGGTAATTTCTCATGCCGTGTGCAATGCGCGCACTTCTATTTGCTCCAGTCCTGCCTAGACGATGAAAAAATGTTTCATTGATTTCTGCTCTCCATGTTTCTCTTTCAATTTCGCCATTATTATGTTCAATATCTATATGTCCTTGAGAGTAATATTGAGCACGTCCACAGGTCATCATAAAATTGTGTAGACAGACCAAAGCTTTTATAATTAATTCTGCATTTTTTGGGGAACAACTTATGCATGTGTTATGAGTTTAAAATTTGCCATCTTACTCCCATGATACCAATCGTGTTTTCAATTATTCTTCTAGCTCCAGATAATCGATAATTGAAAACACGTTCATCATTAGACAAATTTATGTTTTTTCTAGGAAATGGCCTCATCATATATGTAGAAACGCTGCATCTGCCATAAAAACGTATGGAAAGAGAACATCTGTACCAGGAAGTGGAATAGGTGATGGTAAATCAGCTGTTCCCTCTTCAAGAGCCTTCATGAAATTTGTATTCCTCCAAATGCTACCATCGCTTAATGAACCTGCAAATAAAAACATGGCATATACTTTTATGTAAAATACAACTATATATTTAGATTATGAGATCTATTGCTATAGATACATACCATACTGCCCAATATCCACCCATGTAAACTTATATTCCGCATCACAAGCAGCCATAAGCACAATACTAAAAAATCCTTTGTAATTGTAAAATTCGGATCCCGACATAAGAGGAGCTTTGATGCGAACATGTTTCCCATCAATGACGCAATTAGGGAATTGCCATTTATCCATGAAGCCTTCCGCTACTCTATTCCATAAATTTGTATCCAAAATTGGGAGGAAAATTAGTAGTGCCTCCCAAATTGCTTGACAGGTTTCAGGAATTATTTTGTATACTGTTGATCTTCCTATGCGAAACTCTGTGTGTTTATTTAAAACAGAATCTCTTTGCGCTAAATATCTGCAAAAATAATATAATATACACACTATGCTATACACACACAACTAATGTTACATATTGAATTATAAAATAATTTCTTTGCGTACTTACAAGAGTGTCACCTGCAAACGCAATTTGGGATCCAATGGAGTTCTTCTGTTTCGCTTCTGTAATTTAGCTTGCACTTACTAAGCAACCAGTTAAAATGCTCTCCGCCACATCCGAAAATTATTAAAAAATTCTTTATGGTCTTGTGTCTCCATTTCCTTCAGAAGATTTGTCTGATAACCTTGTTGAACTTTAGATCTATTTATGGGACGAATCCACCACCTTCTTCTTTTACAATTCCTTTGTCTTTGTTTTTGTCGCTTCCATTCTAATATTAATTGAGCCTAATATTAATGGAGCCATGCAATGACTAATATACTTGCCAATATTAATTCATTACACTCCATTTCATAATATAACTTCTTTATTCATTACAATATCAAAGTAAATAATCTCGAATCTCTCACACACTCGATGCAATTTTCCTCTTGCGTTCTGATTGGCTCTTAATTCTTTCTACTCCATCGTATTGTAGACGGGACCAGCGTAAGCATCTTCACGCCAAAACTCTTACTTCTACTCTTACTCCTTACTCCATCTATTGCAGATCGGGCCTAAGAAAGATCGATATGTCGCAAATGATATTTACAATGGCGGCACCTTTCCTATCGTTGTTCATGTCAGAAGTGACTGCCTCGGACAATCTTCCATACATCATTGGTTAATAGGCTAATAAATTTTAATAAGAATAAATCAAAACCCAAACTTTTTGATAAGTTAAGGCATAAAATTATCCGGTAAATTGAAAGTCAGAATACAAATAAAATAAATAATTAAATAAAGATATGAATAGTGAATATGATATACTAAACCAAATAAAATTAAGAGTAAAGCAATAAATACAATTAATAAATTACCCAATGATGCAAAAATGCCGGATAATAGTCGAATCTTTCTGTTCTGTTCGCCGCTATTAGTACAAAGTAAATTTGAACGATCGGAATGTTAACATCAAATTTGCTTTGTACTAATAGCGGCGAACAAAATAGAAAGATTCGACTATTATCCGGCATTTTTGCATCATTGGGTAATTTATTAATTGTATTTATTGATTTACTCTTAATTTTATTTGGTTTAGTATATCATATTCGCTATTCATATCTTTATTTAATTATTTATTTTATTTGTATTCTGACTTTCAATTTATCGGATAATTTTATGCCTTCACTTATCAAAAGGTTTGGGTTTTGATTTATTTTTATTAAAATTTATTAACCAATGATGTATGGAAGATGTCCGAGGCAGTCACTTCTGACATGAACAGCGATAGGAAAAGTGTCGCCATTGTAAATATTATTTGCGACATATCGATCTTTCTTACGCTTGGACTTATATATCCACGATTTCACCGCTCCACAATTCTACGTAAGGATGTGTATGCGTTTTTAGAAAAATCTTTTAAAGATTTTTAAAGAACTTTATGTAACTATCCGCTCAATTTCATTTTATTATCTATCTTTATGTATTGCGCTGAAGATGGCCTAAAAAAAGGACGAAACGTTCGAACTTTTAACCTCTTAACGATTTCCGTTGTTTAGTTTAATTTTTTGTATTCGTTTAACTTCTAACCTTTACTCCTTTGCGACATATGTAATAAATAAATACTCTGATATTGTTGGCGTTATATCGGTTATTTTCGACTCGTATTTGCCTAACTCTATGTTTATTAATTTTAAATTTCAATGAGTCATACTTAGGATTATGATTATTTATAATTATATATTTAACTAAATTTATGCCACTTATATCGTTTGATATTATTTTAATCGTAATATTCTCATTATTCTATCAAGAGACACGGTAGTGTCTTGTGCTAAGTCCCGCGTAAGCAACAAGACACTCCGTGTATTATTACGCGAATCGGATAGTTTGAGATGTTCGAGATTATCATATTGAAATATAATCGCTGAACGGATCGAGTTCTTACTAGGCTTAATTGATAGCTTGAGTTTGATTTATATAAGAAAAGTGTCTTTATTTTTGCTCTACGTGCATCGTGAACAGCAATATTATGATCCAAAGTCGAAATATGAAAAATTCTCATTAAGATACGTCGTCTTGGTCAACGCTCAAGTCCCAAATGCGCAAGCGTACAAAGTTGTACGGTTGACGCATTCGACGTAAGATTGCGCTAGCGGCGCTCCGTGATGTTAAGATTATTATATACAGGGTGTCCCATTTTAATCGATGGATCCAAATTTCTCCTAAACTACGCCAGCTACAAAAAAATGTTTCAGACAAAAGTTGTATAGCTTGAAGGGGGACATAAGATGGTGTCATTGGTTTGACATTGAAGAGTCACCTAAAGGTTACGTGAAGATCACATCCAACTTTTTAAATAGGACACCCTATATGTTTTTACATATTCTTATAGTTCATCTCGAGAGCTTTCCAAAACACTATAATTAAGTTAGTTTTCATTAGGTAGTTTTCGAGTTATGAGGCTTGAAATCATTTCTTAATTTTACCAATGACACCACCTTATGTTCCCCTTCAAGCCATACAACTTTTGTCTGAAACATTTTTTTGTAGCTGGCGTAGTTTAGGAAAAATTTGGATCCATCGATTAAAGTGGGACACCCTGTATACAGGGTGTCCTAGACCACCCGTACACCCCTTTTCTTTCAAAAACTAAGCATTTTAGAGAAAAACGTTTTCGACAAAAATTGTATGGTTTTGAGGGGAACATAAGATGGTATCATTGGTTTGACCTTGGATGGCATCATTAAGATCAGGTCAAGGACATCTTTAATTTCTTAAATGGAACCACCTATTTTTTATTGCATATTCTTATTGCTTATGTCGAGAGCTTTCCAAAACACTATAATAAAGTATTTTTTCATTGAGTGCTTTTCGATTTATAAGGTTTAAAATAATATCTTAATTTTACATAAACTATAAAATATCTAGTAAAACATTTATTTCTCGATTATCTTACCTTAATACTTTTATGTACAAAATAATGAGAGGAATCAATTGGTATAAAAGAACACATAATTGTTCCGAAGAAAAAATATGTAATTTGCAATTAACAATTACATATTTTTTCTTAAAAACAACTGTGTGTTTTTTTTACACTAATTGATTCCTCTCATTATTTTGTATATAAAAGTCTTAAGGTAAGATAAAAAAAATAAATATTTTACTAAATTTTTTATAGTTTATGTAAAATTAAGATATTATTTTAAGCCTTATAAATCGAAAAGTACTTAATGAAAAAATACTTTATTATAGTG